CTTTGAAGGGATAGTTTATAAATACTTAGAAACACCATGGAGAACTGCTCCCCAAAAATCAGTTTCTCTCCTCTTGAAAACCTTCTCAGATATTTCAGGGAGAGTTAATGTTCCATAATATGCTCTATATTTTTCAAGAAAAACATACATGCAATGTGGTGAATTACTTAATATGGCCCTTCTAGCCATAGTCTTTGTGACTCCCACACATTGATCGGGTAGGACTATGCACATAAGGTCCTTGTGGCCCACCAAGGGGATTGGACCACTTGGTGCTAATGCAAATAAGGTGTATGGAACCTGTGATCGTTAAGGTTGTGTGTCAGCTTGGCTGGGCCATGATTTTCAGTGGTTTGGCAGTTATGTAATGATGTAATTTGGCAGCTATGTAATGATGTAGTGTTTCTCCATTTTGTGATCTGATGTAATTGTCCTCTGTTTTGTGATGCGATGTAAGTATCCTCCACTTTGTGATGTGTTGTAAATCCTAGCCTCTATGCTTGTGCTTATGGTCCCATTTGGAAGTGAGTTGTCCATTATGTAAATGAGGCAGGATTAGGGTGAGATGTATCTTGAGTCGCTACCTTACTACAGGGTATGACTTAAGTTAGCACCTTACTCCAGTCACCACCCTCACCACTCTTATTCAAGTCACACCTTTGTACCACCTTGCTCATGTAAGGGGAGTTTCCTTGAGGGTATGATCTGCATCCAATATCTGTGAATGCTCTGGCGAAGTTCTCTCATTCTGGATCCTGCATCTGGCCTGTCATCATCTGACCTCTGGTTCTTGGAACACAAGCCAACAGCCTATCATCTGACCTGATTCGCCAGTTTCCACAGCCTTGTGAGGCAGCAGCTTGTTGTCTGACCTGCTGATTTGTGTTTGTCAGCCCCTGCAACCACATGAGTCAGAAGAAGCCTCCAGCCTGAAGCCTGATCCACGGATTTGGGACTTGCCAGCCTCCACAACCGATTAGCCATTTCTTTGATGGTTCATGAGTTCTGTGAGACATTGCAGTGAATTACAGAACCCAAGACAGGATAGAGAGTACTGAGCGGAGGAGAAGTAGTTGATGTTAGAGATAATGGAGTGGTACAGAAGTTTGGAAAAGTTGGATATTTGGACATCTTTAACCTCTGCTTCATAGGAACAAGCTTTGTGCTGATCCTTATAAATTACTCATTGACTATAACACATAATTTCAATTGTTTTTGTGCTTGTCTATCCCTCCCACTATTCTCTGAGCTCCTGGAAGCCAGTGAAACACCAGCACTCAATAAATACTTGATGAAGAAATGAATAAGTAAGTACCTTTTTAAGAGCTATCTTGTCTGTAGCCCATAGGGAGGAAGTCCTGTTATTCATTCATGACCCAGGCACTGTGCCGGTCATATAAATGCCCACACACACATATTCTGTTAAGTGTTTTGAAGGAAATAAACAGGAAATGAATAGTAAGAATTTAGTTTAGATTGATGGTCAAGGAAATTCACGAGTTTGTTTAACCTGAAACCTGAAGAATAAGGAGCCAGCCATTTAAACACTAGGAACAAAGAGTGGTCAAGTACAGAAAGCAGCATGGCTAAAGGATCTATAGCATTAAAAAGCTTGGAAAGTTTTGGAACTGAAATGCCAAAGTGTCTAGACAAGCACAGCAAGAAAGTATTCAAATGACTTAAGAAGACAGGAGAGGTAAGAAATAGAGCCAGATTATACAGGTTTATATGGACCATGTTAAGGATTCAGGGTTTTATTCTAAGATCCATGTGAAGCTATTTGCAGTGTAATGAATTGCTTTTATATGGCCTTTCTAGCCATGGTCTTGTAACTCCCATGAAATCACTGGCTGGGACTATGCAAACTGCATGACTTATAGTCTACTGAGGGGAGTATTCAGTTTACTATGCAAATTGAGTGATTTCTGGTCTACCCCAGGGGATTGTTCAGTTCATGGTCCTGGTGGGAGGGCCATGCTTTGAAATTGACAAGGAGTAGGCTTATATAAGGACCAATCCTACAGAGGTTCAGGGGGACCTCACTTCCACCAAGAAGAGTCTGGAGCAGGGAGCAGAGAACATCCTTTGGCCAAGGACCCAGAGTCCCTGTGCCACAAACTTCCTAGACCCAGCGAAAGAGTGAACTTTGAAGACAGCACAAGATGGCAGAGACAGTGGTGGTGGCTTGCCAGCCCACAGAGCAAGAGCTTAGCACCTTCAGGCAGGCGGCTTGCCAGCAGAGCTGTAAGAGTTGTAACACTTGCCCATGTACAGCAGAAGCCTGAGGGTGCAGTGGTTGCCTTGGAGGATGCTCTGTAGGGGTCTTCCTACAGCAGGGCTGAGCCAGACATCTCTGGGCAGGCAGCCTGCCATTGGAACTTGCTTCTGTAGGGCGAGAGGCCTGAGTGTGCCCTGTACAGGGGTTGCACACCTCACCCCCTGGGCAACAGGGGCCCAGGTAGAGTGGCAGCAAGACAGCCCCACAGGCAGGAGCTAGCAGCAGAGGTCAGCAAGGCCCAGTGGCAGAGCAGAAGCCTCAGGTGTCCTGCAGGTCTCCCAGGCAGCATGGTGGTAGCCAGAGGCAGCAGTGATGTGATGAACACAGCATCTGACATCTGACCTGAACCACGACAAGCCTGTCTAGCTACATTAAGAATGGACATGGGTAGTTTGGGGAAGGGTAAGCATTCCTCCTTTTGAGGATCTGTTATTGTTTACTCTTTGCTTTCTATAAATAATAATGGCTTTCACTTTGCCAACACTGTAAGCATCTTGTGTGGCCGGCTAGATCACAGATGAACATAGCAACTGTGAAATGGTTGATGCCGGGGATGTATGTGTCTCATTCCTAGTAGTCTAATGGCTGCCTGGAAGCTTGAGGCACAGCCTATCTGCATGTGCAATGCGAACAAGACGACATGTACATATACCATTGAATAGAGTTTTTAGTAGGGTATAATTTGATTAGTAAGTATAATTTATCAGCTCCTTTATGGAGAATGGATCGAGGAGCCACGACCCCATTAGGAGTCCATGACAGTAAATGGTGACCAATGATGTCTTGTTCCGGTCTGTTACACCTTCAGACTTTTTAATTTGCCTTTCCTCTTTTCCTGAGTTTGGTTCTCTATACCTGGAAACCAAAAAATTTCCTTTTGTGAGAGGAATTTATCTTTCTTTCCCTTACCTGCTATCTTAGTTATCTAGTATTGCTGTAACACAATACCACAAGTGGGTGGCTTAAAAAACAAATTTATCTTCTCACAGTTCTGTAGGCTAAATATCCAAATCAAGGTCTCAGCCATGTTGATTCCCTCCTTGTCAGTAGCCCCAGGCATTCTTTGGTTTGTACACATTCTCACATGGTGCCTGTCTTCCCCTGTGTCTCTGTGTCTATTCTGGTGTTTTTACAACTAAGTGATAAGGTTTAGCAACCATGGGTATAACCTCATTAACATAACAAAATAAAAAATTCCACAGGTACAAGGGCCAAGAATTCAACGCATGTTTTTGAGGGACACAATTCAATCTGTAACACCTGCCTTAATATTAAACACTAGCCAAGCCAGACTATTAAGCCCCTCACCTGTAATGTCCTCTACTTTTATCTCCACCTCTTGAAATTTTACCATTCTTTTCTGTCCATTTTAGATATCCCTTTTATCTTTTATGTAATCTCAATATACTAAACTGCTTTTATTAATCCAGAATGGCATTTATTAATTTCTAAATTGACTTCTAAACCTATTAAAATGAAAGTGGAATAAAAGCATAAAATGAAGTTTAAGAAACAAAAGTATTCAGAAAAAAATGTTATATATAAAAAAGTAATAGTTAGCATCTTAATAAGCCTGTTTTCTCAAACTTTCTTGACATTTATCTTGGAACTTCCAGACTGAGGGGTAGACTATATCAGAGCTGTTTTGATTGATTTCTGATTCACTGATTAGAAATGAGCAACTAAATCCCTCTGAGCCTAGTAATTTTTTGGGCTCTTCTCCAGTTTATCTCCTTTTGTGAAGACTTCTCCTTTATCTTGACTACCACTTTCTTTAATAAAGCTCAATGATTTTCAAAGCAAACTTCGTAAGCGTTTTTTACTGGATCCTCACAACTTTACGAAGTAATCAGTGAGAGCTATTTCTCCTCCTATTTTATGGATGAGGAAAGCGGGTGCAAGGATGAGAAATGAAACAATCTTCTTCAGAGGCCAGGCCCAAGACTTGGGGTTCTCAGTTGTCCTAACTAATGGAGACTGCAGGCTCTCTCTTTTTCTGTTTCTTTAGCCACATTCACTCAATCCTGCCTTGACAAGTGGAATTTTGCAGGGCACCTGGGATCGTTAGAAGAATAAGCTCCTGCCTTTGAGGACCTTAGATTATGGTGGGAAATTCAACCAGATCATAACAGGGCACAGGAAGCTGAAGATGCAAGAGAGAGAAAAAAATCGATGAAACAAAGAAATCTCAGCTCCTTTTTTACTTTTTTGACCTGAGCACCCGTCGTGTACCAAGGGCTGTGCACTCTAAATATACCCCATCATGAGGTATAGACTACTAACCAGGAAAAAGAAAAACCAAACTCCCTACTGGCGAGTCGATCCCGACTCATAGCGACCCTACAGGACACAGTAGGACTACCCCATACGGTTTCCAAGGGACGGCTGGTGGATTCGAACTAGCAGCCTTTTGACTACCAGCCAAACGCTTAACCACTTGCGCCACCAGGATTCCACTAACTAGGAAGTTAAAATAATGTGCCCAAGGTCTCACAGGTAGGTTTTCAGTGAAAGGACCGAGTTTATGGCCACCCAATTCCTACCTTAAAATTTCAGTTTCTACCGGTTCTATCGTGGGGAACCTGGATAAGCCGAACCAATACCTATTGAGTCCGCGAAACTCCACGCTCAGCCGCCCAAAAACTCCCTCAGCCGGAAGCCCCTCGCAGGAAACCGCCCCACTCGATCCTGGGGGCCCAATCAACCTCCAGCCGAGTCACGTGTCAGCCGAATATGGCTGCGCCCGGGCCAGTTAAGCAAAGGTTGCCTTGAGCCTCGGCATAGCTGAGGAGGACCGGGGGAGGCACCAGCTGCTTAAAGAAGGGGAGCATAAGGTACTGGAATTCTGGGGAAAGGGTGCAGTAAATGTCCTGGTATCACAGGAGGCCCGGCGCTGTAGCGCGCTGTCTTCGGCAGCACGCGAATCGGGTCGTGGATCTGGGCCCCGAGGGAAGGAGGGCAGTCGACCCTACGGTGCTGATGGTGTTTGCACTTTCCAACTTGGAAAGAAAGATGTTATACTTAAATTAAGGCATTACAAGGGGAGAAAATGCCAGCGATTGAAAATCTCACGTTTACTGCTCATCTACAGAGTGACCTTGGCCAAATTGCGTTTTTCCAGGCCTCACTTTATACATTGCATCTCTCTCGGAAACTCTCATAAAAGCAACGTGACATGGCTAATACAAAAGCCTTTTGAAATGTTTCTAGTATTTAACGGTGGCGTTCTCATTGATAGGGATTCATTACTAATAGCGGGGAGACAATGCCACACGGGGACTGCCCGATCTGGACTTGTACCGAATAGACTACGAAACCCTGGTGGCGCAGTGGTTAACAGCTTGGCTGCTACACCAAAAGGTTGGCAGTTCGAATCCACCGTCCGCTCCTTGGAAACCCAATGGGGCAGTTCTACCCTGTCCTGTAGGGTCGCTATGAATCGGAAGGACTCCGGGGCAACGGGGTTGGGCTTTTTTGGTTATTAACATAGGCTTTTTGGGTTATTAATAGACATACCATAGAAATGGCTAGTTCTCATCTCACCAGTATGCAGAGCATAGTGATAGCATTGGGGTGGGCATCCTGAGGAGTATTTTTTTTTTAATTTCGGCTTATACAACATATTTTTCCACTGTATAGACTGAATTTGATTACTTCTCTCTATATATATTCCACCCCACACACACATTCCAAAAACACTGAAAAGTAGGGTAGGTGTCTATCATGTTACTGTAACCAAGACTCTCAAGTGTTTTGAGTTCTAAATTTCTGGAACCTAAATTTCTAAGTCTGCATTACACTTAATTTTAAATCCAGAGATACAGAATTTTTGTGCACTTAATACAAGTGATGTCTTACATATAATAAAAAAACCAAACCTGTTGCCATCTCACAGCGACCCCGTAGGACAGAGTAGAACTGTCCCATAAGGTCTCCAAGGAGCATCCGGTGGATTCGACTTGCCACCCTTTTGGTTAGCAGCCAAACTCTTAACGACTACACCACCAGGGTTTCCTGCATGTAATAGGTACCCCGTATTTGTTAGTCAGTGTTGCAAATTAATCTCATAGCAAATGTATGATAATGAACCAAGAAAATCTGATGTCATAAAACCATGTTATCCTTTGCTGTTTTCAATGAACTTCTGCTTTTAACTCTTCTACTCTGAAATCTGTTTAGAGAGCAAAATCTTCAGACTAAAATTCATCGTTCACCATCCCGCTGCTCTGAGATTGTCCCGGACTAGTGCAACAAACTACTGGCCTCTGGGCCACATGCAGCCTGTGGCTTACTTCTGCAGGGCCAGCCAGCTAGGAATGGTTTTTATATTTTTAAAGGATTATGAAAAAAATTTTTTGACAAAAACTATATATATACTGCACAAAATCTAAAATATTTACTATCTGCCCCTTAGAGAAGTTTGCTGACCCCTGCTCTAAGGTATGCCTAGAAGTGAAATTGCTGGGTCATCAGGTATGTGTCTTCAACCCTATTAAATACCAAATTATTTTCCAAAGTGGTTGTACCAATCTACACTTCCACCAGCAGCACAGAAAAGTTTCAGTTACCCCATGTTCCTTGGCAATAACTGAAATTGTCATTTAATTTTAGCTATCCTACGGATATATATTAGTACTTCACTGTAGTTTTTTGTTTCCCCGATTATAATGAGGCTGAGCATATTTTCATGTTTATTGGTTGTTTGGATTTCCTCATTCTTTAAAGTACAAAAAACGGGGTTGAGTTTTGTCAGTTTTTCTATTGAGTTTGCCTTTTTCTTGTAATTTTGTATATATTCTGGGTTCTAACTAATCCTTCATCAGTTGTAGTGCAGACATTTTCTCCCACACTATCTTTATGGTTCTTTACAAGTTCTTAATTTTAATATTAGTTTTATCAGTCATTATGTTTAGTGCTATTTGTAAACTAAGAAATATTCTTAAAGATTATGAAGATATGTGTAATTTTAGAAGCTTTATGTACCATATTCTAATGCAAATAACACACGCTTCTGTGTTTGACAACCACGCCGTGAGGTATTTTTGTAAGCGTGCTATGCTAATTTTTTTTTACCAAACCTGTTGCCTTTCAGTCAATTCCAACTCATAGTGACCCTAAAGGACAGAGAACTGCCCCATAGGGTTTCCAAGGAGCACCTGCTGGATTCGAACTGTTGACCTTTTGGTTGGCAGCCATAGCTCTTAACCACTATGCCACCAGGGTTTTAAAAAACTGGCATTGCGGCACTTAGGAAAATAACCTTGCAGGAGGGAGGGCGTAGTTGGCAAACAAATGTAAAAGGTGCACGTTTTATTTGTGTAAAATATGGTATCACCTTTCACGTCTGGTTTGTTTCACTTAGAATAATTTGGGGTGGAAGGGATTAAGGTGTGAAGCACTGATTTTTTTATATTATGAACGCAAACAAGTTCTTTTGTTGTTTTTCTATAGACATTATAAAAAAAATTTTTTTTTCATTTGTTTTTTTAAGGTTCCAAGATGGAAAATCATGAACTAGATGATACTATCAAGGAAAACTTAAAAACTCTTAATATTGTAACCAGAAAAATTAACCAACTTCCAGAAGCAGAAAAGTAAGACACCTTAATTTAAAAATGTCTTTTACCAGGTGGATTTTCATCATCGATGTCATTATCTCAAATTTACTTGGTTTGAGTATAAATTATATGGACCATCAGAAGGAAACTGAAACCCAGAGAGCTAAATCATTTTGCACAAGGTCACACAGCTGTTGTCGATATCTAGAAAACTGTAACTCCTATCATTGGACATATCTAATTGTATGACGGTTCAATTTTCCATTCAATTTACAGTATAGTGAAATGTGAACATTTATGGCTCCATTTAAATAACAAAACTTTAAAATATTTTAAACTTTAAATAACCCACTTTTATCATTTTATGCCTATCAGACTAAAAGAGGATTATGGAACACACATAGCTAGATCGGGGGTGTTTGAGAAATGGATCATGGGCAAAAGATCTTTAAGATAGCAAAGAGGAAAAGTCTATGTAGGGAACATACTGATCTTTGAAGACAACGTAAGCAACTACCGTGCACTTCCACAAAATGTCCTTAGACCTCCTTGGCAGTCAGGAAGGCCCAACTAGGTTACACTTAAACCAAAAAGCTGAGATCTAAAAGGATGAAGAGTAGCCAGCCAGATGGTGGAGGGGCAGGGAGCATCTTGCACAGAGGGAATGGCATATGACTAGGACACAGGATAGGAAAGAGTTTGTCGTGTATAACCAATGTACCTGAAGTACAAGGGAATTGGACATAAGGTGGGAGAAACAGGAAGAGTTTTAAGCAGGGGAATGATGTAATCCAGGTAACATTTTTAAAGAACATTCCAATTTTATGGGAAATAGTTTTGAAGTAGGAGAGAAAGGAAGTAGGAAGACTAGTAGGAAAGTGGCATAATGATCCTAGTGAGTGGTGAACTCTATAACATATGCTGAAGTTGGGAGAAAGGGAAAAGTTCTTATTTTTTCCCACCCACAGGTATCTGCTTGAACATGGATCAACATATGTTGGACTTAATGCTGCTCTCTGTGGCCTAATAGCAAACAGTCTTTTTCGACGCGTCTTAAATGTGACACAGGGTCGGCTAGCTGCCAGCTTACCAATGGCAGTGATTCCGTTCTTGACAGCACAAATATCTTATAAAGGTTTTGTAAGTTTACCTTTGAGTACAGGTAAGTTCTGTTACACCATCACTATAAAGTCTGCCGTGGTATATATTGTTTGCAACTTAAATTAATACTTGACAAATATTAATATCAAGTAGCTGTGTAACATTTGATTAAGATTGACCCTTACTAGCAAGTTCATGTAGGGTGGAAACTTAATTCATATTAGCAGTCTGTCGGCAAAGTAAGATGCACGTACACAGCATTTTTACTTTATCTACCTTATCTTTCCCATGGTTCACTGACAGATATATTTGGAAGCCTTATTTAAAAAAAAAAAAAGGCTGACTACCTTAAGCTTTTAAAAATACTTTGTTTTTTATACAGAAGTTCCTAAATGGGAAAAAATATCTTTATGAGACTAAGACTGTATAGTAAATCTCTCAAAGCACTGAACACATATACAAGAATTATCAACTGGAGATTTGATTTCCTTTTAAAAATTTACCATATATGCAGAGTGCTCTGAATATAAAGCTAATCATGAAAAATAATCCAATTTCAAATAAAATATTGCTATACAATAGGGGTTGAAAGGGGGGTCCTTCTAAATTCTTTGTGTTCTGGTAAGTGCTGCTCCAAATGTTTAAATTGATTAGTATTTTGTTGGAGTTATAATCAAGGGAAACTTACTGCCCAATGAACTAAACAGACCAAGTGATGACATAAGTTATTGACTTTCTATTTTTAATATGCTTCATACTAATTTTAGAAACAAATAAGGAACCCTGGCAGTGTAGTGGTTAACCCTGGCAGTGTAGTGGTTAAGAACTATGTCTGCTAACCAAAAGGTTGGCAGTTCAAATACACCAGCCGTTCCTTGGAAACTCTATGGGGCAGTTCTACTCTGCCTGTGGGGTTGCTATGATTCAGAATAGACTCGACAGCAATGGGTTCGGGTTTTATACTCACTTTGGAAATGAATAAGGAGTTTTATAAAAATAAAGTTAAAATATATAATGTAAAATAATAAAATGTAGATGGTTGTCCCAAAAAAGTTCCCACACGTTACAAAGTTTCTTAAAGGCAGAGAAATTATTAGTTCAGGTCTGCTGATAGAAGGCAACTACAAAAAGTTAACAGTAGCCAAAACCCTGAGGTTATATTTAAGTTCAGAACAAATCAGAGAATTTTTCCTAAGATGGTCTTAATCAGTTATTCCTAGCTATTTTAGCTTACTCATACATGTTGTTAAACCTTTTAACAGGCCTTGCAGAATTGCATTTACTATGTTAGTTTATACTTTTGTGTAGTATATTTGACAATGATAGGAAAAATCAGCAGACTCTGTGATACACAGAAAGGTACCCTGCATTCTCTGCATCATGTCTACTTGACTACCTTGATCTTCATTTCCAGAACTAAGTTATTTATTTCCTAGGTAATTTGAGCTGTGAAACTTGTACTGTAACAAGGAGTGGACTGGTTGGACTTATTTTCAGTGGTCTTTATCCTGTTATCTTGGCTATACCTGTGAATGGTGGCCTAGCAGCCAGGTAGGATTCTTTGTTTTCTCAATCATTGAAAAACTTTAATGTGACTACCTAGATAATTTAAAACAGCAAATATATTTTCCATCTTAAAGCATGTTAGACCAAAAGCAATCCACTTTTTTTATTTGAAGGAGCTAATAAGTTTTCCTTATAAATAATATTACTTCTCAAGAATTTAAAAACAGTTCCAGAACTTTATCACTGTGTCTTTTAGTGTGTAGTTGAGGTTGTTAACCTTAATCTGGATTAAATGTTCACTGCAAACAGTACTATGCCTAGCGTGAAAGCTACATATACACACAATGTTCCTAAATGAGTTTGAGTACTTCCACCAAAGGCAAATTTCATTGGAAAATATTTAGCTATAAGCCTGCTGCTTCAAAATAATTGATTATTCTCTGATGAACTGTTCTGCATCAAGCAAGCAATCTATGATGCATGAGCCTCCAGAGGTGAACTGGAGAAAGGAACAAAACACAAGGGTACCTTTTAGGAATAGGAATAACAGATACTGAAGAGAATAGCATTGCTTTAATTTTATCTAGCGTTTTAAGACTTCTAAGATTAATCTATATTATACATAGGCTTACAATACAAAAAACTTTTCTGGTGAAATGTCTCGATGTTGTCTTACAGATATAACACAGCCCTGCTACCAGAGAAAGGAAACATCTTAACCTACTGGATTAGAATCTCTAAGCCTGTCTTTAGAAAGATGCTGTTTCCCATTTTGCTCCAGACTGTGTTTGCAGCATACCTTGGGTCTAGACAATATAAACTACTCATAAAAGCCCTTCAGTTACCTGAACCTGGCCTAGAAACTCCCTGATTTAAAACAAATATGTGCACAAAAATAAAATGGTAAAAACCTATGTCTAATGTATGAATAAACAGACTTGTAATTTATTATGTAAGGTACTACTTTGGGATCTACAAAAGGCTACACAGGACAAAAAAGGCTGAATCCCAGTAAAGGCTACCCACTTAAACAAGAGCACGACTTCTCTAGGTTGCCCAATATTGTCTCTTCCATCTAGCTCACTCTACTCCTTTACATTAGGCATTGAGTTTGGTCTAAAGGAAAAGATAACCATATAGCAGTTTTCACTAAAGACCTCATGAAGAAGCCGAACAGGAATGAAAATGGGAAAACAAAAAAAATTATCAATATGCTATAGCAAATGTTTCTAAATTCAAAGGGTTTCCACAGGCATTAATCCATGGAATCTTATATTTAACAACTTTCCTCACCAAAGGATCAATTCATCTTCCTCACACCACACACACACCCATTCCCATTCCCATCGAGTCGATTCTGACTCATAGCAACCCTACAGGGCAGAGCAGAGCAGAGCTGCCCCATAGGGTTTCCAAGGCTGTACATCTTTTATGGAAGCAGACTGCCACACCTTTCTCCCGCGCAACAGCTGGTGGGTTCACCAACCTTTTGGTTCCACCCGAGTGCATAACCACTGCACCGCTAGGGCTGCTATTAGTCTTAATAAGTGGTTATTCAGGCTCAGCTTAAGTTGCTCTGATGATACAGAGCTACCAAGTGTAACCTTATATTCCTGGAAAGCTAGACTCTTACAAGATGCAGGCAAATTGTCTCTTTGAAACATCATCTAGTGTGAGACAGTTGTTTGGAATCACAGACCTGAGCCTCTTTTTAGCTATGTAATGCTAAGCAAGTTAACGTCTGGCCCTCAACTGCCTCATCAGTAACCTGATTTATGGTTGGTATAATAATATCTGTTGCTAACACAGTACCTAATACATCAAGCACTCAAATGGTAACTATCTTTTCCTGTTCCTTCTAGTTTTGCTTTCTGAAATATCCAAGTCTATTCCTCATTTCCTGAGATAGGTAATTTAAGCTTTTGAAGTGGCCTACTGTATTCCCCTACCTAAAATTTCCATCGAAGTTTTGTAAACCATTTAACATGACAGCATCTTGACCAGCACTGTCTAACAGAACTTTCTGTGGTGATGGAAATGTTTTCTATCTGCACTGCCAATATGGTAGCGACCAGCCACAGTGGCTACTGAGCACTTGAAATGTGGCTAGTGCAGCTAAGAACTGAATTCTTAAATTTTTAGCAACATGTAGCTAATGGCTACAGTACTGGACAGCATATGTCTAGACTAACACTTTCTCCTGAATCAATCCCAGTCATCACAAAAAGATTAAGTACCTAACAAAACCTTAAGTGCTGTTCCAGATTATATTCATGAGCATCTTACTACTTCCTCCAAATGTAGTGACATACCTGTTAAGTAATCTTATTAAAAACATAAAATGAGAATTTAGTCTATTGCCTAGATAAAAGCAGCTTCAGGAATGAATAGGCTTCCAGCATCTTTGAAGGAAAATAGTAACACAGTGCTGCCAAAGATTTAAAATTCACGTGAAACAAAGAATACATTTTCAAATTTTCAGAATGCAAAGACCATTTTGTTCTTTCAAAAGACACATAAAATTTTTTCCCTCAGAAACTCATGTAAGAAATAACCCCAATTACGAGGCAAAAAAACCTATGTGCCTAGAAGACTGAAAGGAAATACGCCAAAAATATTTTTTTGTAGATATTCTCTGGGTTATGGAATTATGATTTTTTTCTTGATGGCTTTCTGATTTTCCAAGTTTTCTATAATAAATATGCTTTACTCATAACCAGAAAAAGTACATATGTTATTTAAAAGGAAAAAAAATTAACCTGGTTTTTCTACAAGGTAAAAAATCAAGACTGAAAGCCCTCTGACTCAGAATTATCCATTTACCTGTACTGTCACTTTTATTTATTAGTGGGGAAAAAAAAAATTAGAAATAACTCCTGACTTCAGAAATTAAAGCCCAAATTACTGAATTAGACGTAAGAATAAAAATAGTATAATCAACTTTTGGATAATTCAAAACCTGCTGATACAACTGTTCAATAATTTGTTTCCTTACTTATCCTTAAACATTCCCACGATATTTATTCACTAGCGTATCATCTATAAATGGGTACAATGGTTTATGTAACCCAAAAGGATTACTTTCTAACACCTGTCCTCTACCACATATTTCTTAAACCATCTTTTCATTTAGTAGCAATGGGCAACATAAGCAATGAAGCATGTTATTTTAGATCTGATGCTACAAATATACCAAAATTTTTGGTGAAAGGGCAGATAAGTGATGTGAACTTGCTGTGATTTGCATCACAATTTAAGGAAGCTTTCAGTCATTTGTGTTTAAAGAACACCGCCTCATTCAGTCTGGAAGACAAGTTTTTAACATCTCAGTCGAGTCACAAACTATTTAAACAAGTCGAGTAAACAAACTATTTAAATCTGTTTTTTACAACTCACTTTGTATAGTTATTTGGCTTTTAAAAAAAGGAAAGGGTTTATATTATGTTTAAATTGAGATATTAACATAATTTTTATAAACCCCAAACTATAGTGTAGAGGGCTCTAGGAAACCGTCCTCTGGGTATACAGGAAAGAATTTGAAAGCACGCTTGAAACAAAGTTAGGCTACAAACAAAATACAGATCTACGAATATTAAACAACTACACAAATGTTCAAAACACCATTACTGACTAGATCGTTAGATTCACTGTGAAAACTAAATATTTTCAACAAAATAAGTAATTTTGGGTAAATTATGAAATTATAATTTAATAGTTGTGAATTAGTTTCCTTTTAAAAGTGGGCAAAATAATTCCAAGTGAGCAACCTTAATTGTTCATATTGGGGAAAAGTAAACAGGAATAAAACACTAGTATTAGCAACCAAAGCAATGAAAAAGGCAAGTTAGGGGGCAAATGCCTACCTACCTATAATCCGGGGAGGAAACAAAATCTTTAATATTACATGATTTATGTTCCTAATGATAAATTAATTTACTTCCTGAATAGAATTTAAATTATCTCCGGTTTTTCTGTACTGCAAAACTTTGAATGTAAATGACCATTTCAGAGTCTATATCAGAGCTCAGTCTGGCAGTGTAAGACAACAGGGAGTGACTGGCTGAGAGAGTAGAAAGGCTACACATAAAGAAATTCAAATATATGAAAAATACTGTGCTGGCCAAACAAAACACTCCACAAGCTCAAGTTTCTAATGGAAGAACTCCCCTTTCTGGTTCCAGGACACAATGGTAATTACTTAAGTTCTGAAGAAAAAACAGCACAGAAAGATGATAAAAATACAAAAATTTGGAAGGGTCTCAAAGCTTTGTATTGATAGTGGGTCTGGGGAAAAAAACACTTAAAAATATTTTACTACCAATTCAACTTTCAAGAGTCATTGGATTATTTAAAAATTTGACTAAATTAACAAGCCCTGCAATTTCCTTCAAAATGCTGAACCAGGCAAGCATATATTTAGAAAGACAATTACTCATCAGAGAATTGTCCACTCTGTGTTCTATCAAAATAATAGTTAGGGTCACCAAATACTGGTGGTGCCTGAACATTTCATTGTAGAATTATAAACTGCTATACTATTGTAACAGCAGTCACTAAATATAAGCCAGTGGGAATGCTCCTTACTGCCTGGCTTCACAGGCATTCAATGCACTCAGATTACAAGAAACTGAGTGGACTTAATAAATTTTTTACCATACTGAACAATAACCAACTGTATGTGTTATGAATCATTCTGGAAAGAAAAGAAATAGGAGTTTCTCTTATCTCTTCACACTTCTATCATTTGCATACTTCCCAAGTAAGTCAGTAAAATAAAGTGACTCAGGCTAGACCAGGTGAAAGAAATGTATTAACACAATCCAAAGAAAATGAAATAAAACAATCCAGAGTTCTTGGGTGTTTTTTCACTTATAATAAGCTGGAAAAATATTTCAATTAAGTAAAACCACCATATGCCACACACACGCAAAAAAAGCTACTCCCATCATCCAGAATACTAAAACCCTTACTCTAGACATATTTTAATATAAAACAGTAGAAACTAGCATGCCGTTTGTTAGAAACCTCAAAAGAGTCACTAAACAGTGTCAAGTACTCCGAAAAAGCTGAAGAAGCCAAGACCTCAGAATCCACACATCCTGGTATTTCCCTGAAATGCAATTAACTCTACCCACACAAATTGAACCGTAATCAATATTTTCAAAGATATAGTTAAGAACTTTACATTAACTTTTATATTCTACTCAGCAAGGTGTCTGCCTGTACTTCAAATCAGCTCTCATGTTTCAGGAAATAAATACAAATTCATGATATGCCTTGTGCTCACTGATGCCCTGTTCATGTAATTTTAGTCCACTAAATGTAATTCCATAGAAAATGTTCTTGATAACATAAAGAATCTAATTCCTTGAAGAAATGCTATCATTCTCTTCTCCAATGGATAGATACAATTTTTAAAAAGTATGCAGAGAACTGAGTATCACTCCCATGAAAGACAAGAAAAAAAAAAAAATGTGTAATTTTGTTCCAAAATTTAGTCTCATATATTTCTATTAAGTCTTTCAAGGATTCCAGAGAATCTTTTCATATCTCCATTTCTGGAAAGTGAAATCAGTATAGAAGTAATTTGGGAACTTGAAAATGGCATTCTTTTTTTTCAGCAGATGCCAAATTTTTGACGGACATGGCTCCCACAATTACTTTGTTACCATCAGTCCAGTCAGTTAACAGGTTGTAGCAAAAGATTCGTTTTTGTAGACACTGCTAAGCTGTTTAAAGAGAAGAGAGAGAGATTAATTTAGTGATTATAAAATGCACAAATATTTAATTAAAATATTTTGAACACTTTTTGTTGGATTATATTAGCAGTGTGACTCCACTTTAACAAATGTAGCCTTTTTAGTTATGTCTGGTCAAGGAAGTGCAAAAATAGTCAATATGATAGAAACAGTAGGTCAATATGATGTGTTAGTTCAATTAATGTATGAATTCCTGCCACCATCAGAAAACAAACATTAAAAAGCTACATCTTTAGTCTAGTTCTGTATCATTTTACCATTTGGTATACTAAGCCTAGGAACTTGAGACACAATTACAAAAAAAAGTCCTCAATACTAAATTTTTCATCCATTACAGTAAACAGACCAAAACCTAAAAATTTCAGAACAATCTATATTCCAGAAATCTCCTCTACCCAAGTACTAATCATTCAGAACACAATTTTCTAAAAATAGTAAGACAACAGTTTCATATTAATCATAACTTTTTTAATTAACAAGTAGTGGATAGGACACTTTAAGATACTGTTTACTACATACTGAAATAAACGATCTGTTATAAATTCAGAAACCCATTTACAGTAAAATGTGCTTACACATAAATATGACCAAATTTATTTAAAGCTCCTATTAGATAGGTCCTAAGTACATGCAATTACCATGTAAAAACAAGACCATGAAGTTGATGTAAAAATGACAAAATCACTAAGTCACCAAAATTAGAAAAAAAGAGAATGAAATGAAGATAAAGAAAAGACAGTTAATAAAACACAAGGAACCTAACAAAGTAGCTTTAAAAATAGGCCATACTAGTCTTTCCATTTTCAAGTTTTGAATCAAGTATTCCCAAAAACTGCCATTTATAAAATGACATTCTAATAATCTATAATTGAATTTCAAAGCAGCCCAATTTAGAAAGCTTTGACTACTCCTTTCCCCAGCCCCAAACTTCAAATAATGCAGGGAAAACACTGACGATTAGAAAGAAAATATTCCAAGGGAATGGTGTAATTTTTAGAAAAACACACTTTCTGCTTCCAGAACCTTTTAAGACCCACAGTCAGCCTTAATGACAATCATTTTTCCTATTTTCATCCATAATTTTCCAATGTCATGTTAGAGATGAATAAATTCTTTGAGCCCATAAACTTAAAGATCAACAAACCTGGTTTTATTATGACACCATATTTTTGTCATTGGTACTGCACAAAATTATATACAAAGAAATATATACAAAATGTTCAAGTATTAGTTAAATTTCAATTCAAGGCTTCTCTTTCAAAAAGCTACATTTAACATATTCCATAAAGATAGCACAAATTAGTCATTTCAAATAATTTTTCCAACTACTTTTGGTTTATATATATAATTCAGTAGGCACTAAAAATCCATGCAGCTGCATTGTGAGGGGCTTGCTCCTGCGCTTAGGTATAAGCAGGTTCATCACTCCAGGTTGTGAGTTTGGCTACTACCCATTCATGCTCAAGTGCAGTAGATGATTTTACAAAATATGCTGTGATGCACTGGAAACCAGAGACCAATTTAGGTCCCAAATCTTATTATCTAGCAATAAAACATTTACAGTTGTGCAAGAACAAGGATTCCATTTTCACAACAAAATAAAACATTTTATGTGTAAGATAGCTTACATCTTTGGACTGCTGGAAAATACTTAATTATGAACATTTTAAAAATAAAAGACAGCAGAAGCCCTGATATTACCTCTTTTTCCTCATTTCTTATACTACCTTTTAAAATAAAGCAGGAAATGTGGCCAGCAGCTGGTCCCGTCTCTTCTGCCCCAACAGCTGTATCCACTTTAGCACAAAGAAAAACAAGGATGCTAAATACGTATATACTTTATCAAACAGTGATGTTTCACAAAGAATTTCTTAATGTCTGTTACATGGAAGGACAGCAAAACTCAGTTTATACAAGTGGACAATAGTAATACAGTACACTTCAAGGAAAGAATATGCCCATCTTTGGAAAAATTGTGTCAACTGGGTCAGTTAAGCGGCCAGAACCACTTAATTTTGAAAATGATTTTTAAATAGGGCAAATGCTTTCGAATAAAGAGAGTAAGATTCTTTGTGAAGCCTCACTTTACATTTTTTCATTCACATTTCACAATCTTCATTATTTAGTCATACATACATAAATTTAACCTAAAATTTTAATACAACAAAAATAAAGATATTCAACAATTTATTCATTCTCAGTGATAGGGTAATCACTGTGCTGGTCCTCAAAGAAATATTTCATTAACCATTCTTATTCTTCCTCCAGTTAACTAACACAGGAGTCTGATATGTATATTAACTTCCAACTTCTCTAAAAGTGAAAGATTAAAATCTGTTAATCTGAACAGACTGAATTTCTGTATCTTCTACTGAAAACTAAAAGGCGTTCTTGAATATTTAAGAGATTTCTGTCACCTTCAGCAAAATAACTACCACATGTGTGCATGCCCCAAATACTTATATTGTCAACCTCTGAAAACTTGCTCTAAAATTGGAATTCCAATTTGCACCTTGTACAACTCGGAACTTCCATTCAACTTCACCTGTTTCACTGTATCCAAACTGTATCTCTATAAGCAGGTTTCAGTGTACAGTTGGAACCGATGTCATCCAAGGCCATGTCCACACTGGGGACAGAAGAGCTAGGTACACGCAAGTTTGAACAAGGTGACACATTAATAGCTATTTCAACCAGAAGCATCTTAAACACACTGACCAGCACAAGTCTGTTTCCAGGGTGGACAGGGCCCAAATTAGATTCCCCTCCCATCTTCCAAAAAAAAAAAAAAAATCACACACACACACACACATATTGAGATGTTGCCCATTAAAGTAGACTAAGCAGCAGAGCATGAGCGTTACGTGAAGAGATGGATCCTTACCAGGTTGTGAGGCGGGAACGACTGTTCTGCAACCCCTACAACGGAGCCTGGCAGGAAGGAAATCACCTAAAAAAGAAACTGTCAGAGAGATTTAATAGTCACATGTTATCATTAGGAGTTGGTTACAGTGTCACATTCATGCTTTTAGCTAAACACTTAAAGATTCAATATTACTTTTTCCTCCTCTGAAATGTGTCCAGTGAAGATGTCCCACTAAGGTGTTTTACGTGGTGTAAGGGAGCTGAAAGGGGTAAACGCGGATAAAGAGCAGATTACTTGACCCTACATTTTAAGAGAAGACGACGCCTTCCGGGCGCACGCCGAGCAGAACTCCACCGACACCTTATCCTTGTCCACATGAAGACACACTCCTCCCGCTGAGTCGTCCTCTTCTAGCAGGTCCTGCTGCTGCTTTCCCACCGGCAGTGCGTAGTCGTGGTCACCGGCGGGCGAGTCTCTGAAGAGAGAAGTGGTCAGTCGCAGTCCCACGCCGCTCAGACGGCTCAGCAAGCGAGCCAGTCCGGTCTCGTTGGCTAAGACGGCCCGTAGGTAGCGACTCTCCTCCTGCAGTGCTTGCACGCGCTTGCTCAGCTCCCGATTCTCGGCCCGCAACTCCTGGTTCTCGGCTGCCAGACCCCGAACTCGACTCTCCAGCCCCATCACGTACTCCTTCTTCTTCAGCCGATTAAGACGGGCAGCGGCCGCCGCCGCCTTCCGGGGACTCTTTGTTGCTGCCTGGTGGCTGTCGTTACCGCTGCTGCCGCCGCTGCAGCCGCCACCTGCGCCCGGGGACTTTCTCCGCCTCTTTTCGCCGCAGCTACTGTCGCTGCTGCAGCCCCCAATACCATTTATCAACCTCTGCAGCAGATCGGAAAAGCGCTGCATCTCGGCAGCCGCGGCCTCATCGTCATCGTCCCCTCTCCACAGGCCACCGCTATCCGAACCGCCGCCGGACGAAGAGAGAGGTCCGGGCGAGCTGAGCCCGGGCTCCAGATGCCAGTCTGGTTGACGGGGGTCCAGCAAATCGGCCAGTTCCAGCCCGGACAGAAAGTCCATGTCCTCTGACTCCTCCTTCGGGACGCTGGCAATGGCCTCCTCCTTCATCTCCTCGGGCGAGGGCGCGCGCACGGCCACGCCGCCGCGGCTCCCCCTCCCGGCCTCCAACTCGCTCTCGTCGCGGTGCGGCTGCTTGCGGCCGGGATATCCGGCCGCCGCCGCCGCCCGGCTTAGGTCCGGAGGCCGCGAGCAGGCCGCGACCGGCGCCGGACTCTCGCTGAAGGTCGGGGAGTCACTGCCCGAAGCGGCCAGCAGCTTGGTCAAGCTATGCCTCATGGGGCCCAGCGGCGGGCCCACGTAGGCCCCGGCCCCTCAGACCGGGCCTCGCGGGCCCCACAGACCCCAGGCCCCAGCGTGGGCAGCAGGGCGCTGGCCGGAGCGAAATGAAAGGAAAGGTCCAAGTACCCTCACGCCTCACTTGGCCTGTCGCCCCCCCGCGCCGTGGCGTGGGGGAAGGGAAGGATGGGAGATCGAAGCTGCGATACCCAGCTATGACTCCGCCGCGCCACCAAGACAACGGCCTGGCCGGAAGTCAGTCGTTTTCCCCCAGCACCTCCCACTGCGTGTCGCGCGCCACCTGGCTCTGGTATCGCGAGAGTTCAGGCAGTTCTGGAGTGGGAGTAATTCCAGGGCTCCAGTGATGTCATAGTAACAGCGGCAAGAATAACAAACCTCAGATTGATCGAAAAAGGATTCTACTCTCTGTGTCCTTACTTTTTAACCGTCTACATTCTACCCTCGACTTCCAGGGGTACCACTCTTAGAATTTACCTTCTAGATACCAAATTTATGAATTATCGTCAGCAGTGTTAATAATAAGGAGACTGAGGCCCAGATTGACACAGTGATAAAGGCTTGGCAAACCCTCTTTGTGATAACACGTTTGTTAACCATAAACTCGTTTAAAGTTTACTCTGTGCAAAGAATTTAACTTCACCAAAAAGTAAATTAGTCTTTGCCCTTGTTTCCTGAGAAAATAATTCTAAACCTTTGGAATTCCCTAAGCAGTTGAGGTGGTTTGATAATTTTTTAAAAACCTCCAGAATGGGGGGTCCACCAGGCCAGAGAGCACCTAGTAACCTTATGCCAGCTGATCTCAGTGAGGGGCGGGGGGGTGGGTAAAATCAATCACGTTAATATTAGCAATGGTTAATTTTCTATTTTCTCCTCTTCTTAAAAAACCTCATTGTAACTTACCTGAATTGAGCGTTTGTATTTTTAACAAACAAAATGGTCTCCCTGTATGCATACAGATGAACTGCTCAAATAAACCCTATATCCATTAATTTATGTGTGCTTTGATTATTTTTTAACAGCAGTTATCCTGGATTTCTCAGGAATTTAAAACCATTCTTGAAATTGCTCCTTCCTCCCTTCCTTCATAAAACAAGATCTTTACACTCAAACACTGTAGAGTTCTAGAAGAAAAACAAGTAAATAAGTAAATCATTCATGTTTAATTTTTTCCAGCTTTTTATTATGAAAATTTCCAAATGTACAGAAACTGAAAATATGAAAGAATAGTTCAGTATCCACTATGATTCAACAGTAGCACCAATAACCAGGTTCAACAATTGTTAACATTTGGCCATATTTGTTTTATTTGTGTACAAATGTTTGTGATTTTTTTTTTTCCTGACACCTGTTCTAGTATAAAAACATCACAAAGTTTAGTAAAGCAAAAAGAAAAGTTTTATTCGGCCTATGTTCAAAGATGCAAAAGTTGGGAAGTGGACAAACATACTGCCAGAGCTAATGGCTGTCCAAATCCAAGGAAATTACAGAACAGACAAAAGTGGGAAAATGGACAAGCATGCTGCTAGAGCCATGTCTGCCCACTCCAAAGAATATTATAGAATAGGCAAGAATGAGAAAACAGACAAGCATGCTGCCATAGCCATGTCTGCCTGAGTCCAAAGAATATTATAGAACAGGCAAGAATGGGAAAACGGACAAGCATGCTGCCACAGCCATGTCTGCCTGAGTCCAAGGAACATTACAGAATCAACAGTATATATTAACATTACAAATGGGCAAAACCATGGAAAGCTTCACTTTTTCACAGATAGGCTAGAAACTGCTAAATCTCCATAATCCTACATTTTGAATTGTCTTTCTTAACAATCATTGGTACAGGTTTCAGTCAGGAAGTTCCAACAAATCCTACTATTCACTAAATGTTAATAGAAAAAGGTAAGAGTGGAAATTATGTGGGTCTTTTGTGCTGTGTTTTATGATTTATGTGGAAAGTTTGCTAAAAGATGTTTTCCAAGATTATTCTAACTATTGTCTTTATACCTCAGGGCCCACTTGATGTGTCCTTGTGAGTCCTTGTGAGTCCATCTCCAGATGGGTCACATTCTAGGACAGGGAATAATGGCTCCAATATTATCTTCTAAATCACACCCCAAGACATCTCACTCCTAAATACTTCAGCATGCATCTCTTAAAGTAAGGCTATTCTCCTTCATAAGCATACTACTATTAGTATCAACTCAATTTTTTTTCTTCTTGAGAAAGGTAATTTATTTCTTTTTTAAAAATTATTTTTTTTTATTGTACTTCAGGTGAAGGTTTACAGAACAAATAGTTTCTCATTAAACAGTAGTACACATATTGTTTTATGACATTGGTTAACAATCCCATGACATGTCAACCCTCT